TTCTCAGGGGTGCAGTGTGCCTAATACCCTTAGCTGCTTGCTGGCCTTTCGCTTCCTAGGAGAGTTAAGTCAGCAGCCTGCCCTAGCACATCCCTCAAAGGAGAAGCAGGGCAATCTACAGGAGTAACTCAAGCAAGAGATGCCCATGGCTTAAATGAAGGTAAAAGCAATGGAGACGTAACATGTGGCCGGGCTCTGCGTATATATGCCCATCAAGGTTTGCTGAGAAGCCGTGCACAGAAATTCAGGACAGGAGGAGCTGAAGACACATTCTTTTGATACAAGCAATTGGAAGGGTGGAGTTGGTATTCATTAGGTCATGAAAACTGTGAGGCTAGGCTGGGAAGAAGGAACCTGAGGGAAAAAAATGACATAGAGTTGAACATGACCTTCAGACTTGCAAGGGTAGAGACTAAGTAGGTAGCTGAACATGTCTCTTCATGTTTGATTAGCACACACTTTTTAAAAAACACATTGGAAACAGACACTAAAATCTTAGTCATCGTTGAGGTCTCTAGAAAGTGGCACTGGACACTGAGGAGGGCAATGTATGCATGCTATGTATGTGTGCTCACATACTTCTGTGGGTGTCCATGTGTACATGCACGGAGCAGCCAAAGGGGCATTACTTATGTGCCATCCACCTTGTGCGTGTGTTTCTCTGATTTTTCGAACAGGATCTTTCATGGGCCTGGAACTTGCCAAGTAGGCCAGAGAGGCTCTGGGCTTCCATCAACGTCTCTTCACTCCCCAGTGCTGAGATTACCACGTGTGTTGCCACATCTAACTTTTTTATGTGGGTTTCCGGTGATCAGGTCTTTGTGACTTCAGGGCAAGCTTACTCTCTTGACCTCAAGGTATACATCTCAATTCTGAATTTAACTGTCTTCTCTACCATTTATATACATTATGTTTGTATGCACATGTACGCGTGCATATATAACTTTTAGAATTCATGTGACAGAATGGGTCAAGTGAACACAAGCAAGTCTCATGAAATCCATGATGGAGAGATCCACTGCAACCTCTTAAGCTGTAACACTGATTTCATTTCATTTTTCCTTTTCCTAAGACAGGCTCTCATTCTGTACCCAGACTGACCCAGAAATGACTAAAGTTCAGGCTGGCCTTGAACATGAAGCAGCCATCCTACCACAATCTCCTGAGTGCTGGGGTTACAGGTACACCACCATACACAGTCTCCTGAGTGCTGGGGTCACAGTTCACCACCATACACAGTCTCCTGAGTGCTGGGGTTACAGGTACACCACCATACACAGTCTCCTGAGTGCTGGGGTTAAAGGTCACCACCATACACAGTCTCCTGAGTGCTGGGGTTACAGGTACACCACCATACACAGTCTCCTGAGTGCTGGGGTCACAGTTCACCACCATACACAGTCTCCTGAGTGCTGGGGTTAAAGGTCACCACCATACACAGTCTCCTGAGTGCTGGGGTTACAGGTCACCATACACAGTCTCCTGAGTGTTGGGGTTGCAGGTCACCATACACAGTCTCCTGAGTGTTGGGGTTGCAGGTCACCATACACAGTCTCCTGAGTGTTGAGGTTACAGGTCATCACCATACACAGCTCTATTTTTCTTTTTTTTATCTTGAGACTGGGTCTCATTATCTAGCTCTTGCTGTCCTGGAACTCACTACATAGACCAGGCTGGCCTCAAACTCACAGAGATCTACATACCTCTGCCTCCCAGTGCTGGGATTAAAGGCGTGCGCCACTCCGTCCTGCAGCTCCACTTTATTAAAGTAGATGTTCACTGTGTTCTAACCCCCACTTCCCCGAAGGCTTCAGTGAAATGTGGAGTGTGTGACTGGCCTCTCATTCACTTGACTCATATTGAAAACAATACTGAGAGTTCTCAGTGCCTACCCGGCACACAGGAAGTGTGGGGTGGGGCCTGAGATAAGTTGATCAAATAACCTAAGTTACCACAAGAAACTCGTGTTCCTGAGAGCGGAATAGTACAAGACTGCTGTGATAGTAAAAGGTGCAACAACAAAGACCTGTTTCTGCCTTCTCACCAGGAAGCATTTTGATACGTCACTCTTAGTTAAGTATGCAACGGAATGAGTATTTCTCCCCCAAACAGCCTGAATTTTAGCATTCCTGCCCATGCCTCTTGTCAAATAAGATTTCTGCAGCCTTTGATTTGCATCAAGATTTATTTGACTTTAGTCTTCAAAGCATTCAATTCAAAGTTCATTCTATCAGTGGGTGGATTAGTTGAGTAACTGAAATATTGGTGTTGAATGCCATAATGGTTTGTAATAATCTCTCTCTCTCTCTGGGCAAGATGGGCAAGATACTTACCAGCCATTGACTAATAAGCAATGAAAGGACTGTCCAAATAACACGTAACTTCAAAAGAGAGTCTCTGGCAAACACTGCATGGAAATAAATGATGACGGCTATGCCACATACTCATCTGATGCTGTTTCATGAACTTCCGTATGGAAAGCCTCACGTAGTGAGGTGCTACTTAAGGAAGGCTCAGGAGGTGGCTGGTGATACCAATTTCTGGAAATTACATAGTTTACTACTGTACTAGCAAGGAGGGAGCCTCAATTGAGAAAATGCCTCCATAAGATTGGACTGTAGGCAAGCCTGTAGAGCATTTTTTTAATTAGTGATTCATGGGGGAGAGCCTTGCCCAGTGTGGGTGGGGTCATCCCTGGGCTGGTAGTCCTGGGTTCTATAAGAAAGCAGGCTGAGCAAGCCATGAGGAGCAATCCAGTAAGCAGCACCCCTCCATGGCCTCTGCATCAGCTCCTGCCTCCAGGTTCCTGCCTCCAGGTTCCCGCCCTGTTTGAGTTCCTGCCCTCAATGCTTTTAATGATGAACTGTTACATGGAACTGTGAGTGAAATGAACCTGTTCCTCCCCAAGTTGCTTTTGGTCATGCTGTTTCATCACAGCAATAGTAACCCTAAGACAACTACTATTTTGAGAAAGTCATCTGTAACCCCACAAAGATGAGGAGAAACCCAGAAATTTGGCCAGTCAAGAGGCATAAAGGCTATCGGTAGAAAGTGTTGCTGGCTTCAAGATAACGGATTCTGGATAGGTAAGAAAACCTCTTAGAAGTGAAATTTACCATAAAGAGGGCTGAATCTTCTAAAAATAACCTTAAAATAAAAGAAAGATGGCTTGGCTGATAAACTGCTTGTCACTGAAGCGTAAGAGCCAGAGTTTGGGTGCCCAGGACCCTATAAAAATTGCACATGACTCTCCGCACCTGTAATCCTATCCTAGAGCATATGGGTAGAGATAGGAGGATTCTGGAGCCCGCTGGCCAGCCACTCTACCCAAATTGGTGAGTTCCAGGGTCAGTGAGAGACCTTGCCTCAAAAACTAAGCTGGAGAGCAACTGAGGATGACACCTCAGGTCAACCTCTGGCCACACTTATGCACACACAGGCACACACACATGAATATGTACACATACACAACACACATAAAACCAGAACAAAGAACATGTTGTCAGAAGCTAGCTAATCCCAGATTGGGACATGGCTTCTGCCTGTGAGAGAAATTGGATTGGCTTTGAGGTATATCCTCTGCTTAAAGAGCTCCGATGTACTAAGATTAAGGAATTACATTTTCTCCAGAGAAAGATGCCTCCATAAGCAAGTGTACCAAGATGCAAATATTCTGTCCATATTTTATAATTAGTTTGCAATGATCTCAAACAAGAGATGAGTTAGGAGAGCAAACAGGCATTTGGAGAACTGAACAGAAAATGGAAGTCTTGTTTTCTGGAGATTTCTTTTGGCTAATGCTCATTCAGGAAGCTTACCACTCCAGAGCTGGGGAGATGACATGCTCAACAATTCAAAGCATTGGCTGCTCTTGCAGAGGATTCAAATTCCCGTTCCCAGCATCCACATAGGATGACTCCAGTTACATGGGGATCTGAAGCCCTCTTCTGGTCCTTATGAGCACTGCGCGCGCGCGCGCGCGCGCGCGCGCGCACACACACACACACACACACACATGAATAAAAAAAATAAATAAATAAACCTCACCACTCACTGGTATACCATGTGTCTGATGTCACAGGAAACCAACCATTAGCTGCTAGGTAGTCACCCCTCTACCACTCACATGAAATCTTGCTAAAATCTTTCTCACTGCCTATGATTCCCCAATCTGACACTCACATGCCTCATGTCCGTTCTGGGTACCAACAGCTTTCATTTTATCTTTCAATAGTTACCACATCTGTTTCCCCAAATGTTTCAAAGACATTGACAAAGATATTGAGACTCACTTCCTAGTTACAGGGCAACATCATACAAGGAAGCTTTTGGTTTGGTTCTCTTAGGGAGAGACCTGGATAAGCTAACATCTGAATTGATGGTACTGCTACACATGACCCCTAACTCCTTGCTAACCTTGAAGTTGAAAGTTTCCTACACAGTCTACCTGCTTGTCTTGTGCATGTAACAGTGACTAGGATTGGGGCAATAATCATAGCCAAAGTAACAATTTTATTGAGTAATTGAGTACTCACTGTTTTCTTGGAACTTTACGTATAGTTGATAACATGCTGGGTAAGGCCTTTTTGGTACCACATTATAAGGTCTCAGCCTTAACAGGCTGAAGTTGAGCAGCTGAAGGTCAGCTTGTGGAGGCTGCTAGACTCTTACCTAATAAGACTGTAAGATGCGCGGAACATGAGAAAGGCCAGTCATTTCTGACAACATGACTGTCAGTTATATTTCTGTGCCTGGTTTCCTTCTGGGATCCTCCCCCCAAACTCACTCTCTCTGTCTCTGTGTCTCGGTCTCTCTATCTCCTCTGTTCTTAACACTTTCTTTTCATACTGTTTTGCGTTTGGGCATTTTCTACAACTCAGTTCAAGTTTTCACTGAGTGTGGCCGGTTGGACAATGAGGGATTGAAAAGGCTCCTTTCTCCATAACCCAGTTAAGGGTCGTTATAGTAACTGCACGTCTGCAGTTCGCCCTGTTCTCTCTCGTTATGGGTGGGTGAGTGAAGAATCGGCTTTAAGAGAGATTGACAAAGGAAGACTCTTGATTTGAGGAAGGAATGAACGGGGAGGGCCACAGAGAGCAACTCTGCCTTCCACAGAGAAGCAGGAGACGTGGGACTGAAGGGACATACTCCAACCATGATCATATCCCAGGTATCACCGGGGCTTTTGGAAAATTAAACCATAGGATGCTCTTAACACTGGTGCCCTCCCCTGCAATCCCTTCATAACTAAAAACAATACAAACCTACAAACCCTGTCTGTGTGCTGAAATGAAATAGCTTTAACATCTTGTTTTAAATTAGTGTGTGTGTGTGTGTGTGTGTGTGTGTGTGTGTGTGTGTGTGTGTGTGTGTGTTATATGGATGTGAGCACAGATGTGTGAGTGACTAGGCTGGTGACTAGCAACCTGCAGTGATCCTGCCACCGCTGCCCACCAGTGTCGAGGTTATACATGTGTTTGGCCACACTCAACTATTGACGTGGGCTGGGGATCCAAACGCAGGTCCTCGTGCTTGCCTAGCAAACATCCTTATCCATCAAACCATCTCCCCTGTCCCAAGACTGCTTGTCTTTATTGAAAAGTCTATGCTTGCCAGTGTGATGGTGCCTGTCTTTACAGTACTGGGGAAGTTGAGGCAAAAAGATGGTACATTCCAGGCTAGCCTGGGCTACATGAGATTCCGTCTCCAAAGGCAAAACCAAAATTTTTGAAAAGAAAAATGTTTTTTCCTGTGTATGTATAGTGTATTTTATTGAAACAAGCATTGTTTAGGGTTTCCAACTGGATGGTTCAGTACTAAGTAGTCAAAATCTGAGATTCTAGAAGGTTCTTTGCAACCAGGAAGAGTGGAGTTAGTCACTCAAAACCTACACAGAGAAATCCTGTCTTGGAAAGAAAAAAAGAAAAAGACTGATTAAACAACATCACACCAGTGTTCAAATCATTCTGAGAGATGTAAAAGTCCCCCAAAGAAACTGCTGGAAGTCTGGGGACTGGAGTGGGTGGGGGAAGCATCATGGATTATGGGTGGACAAACGCTCCTCACTCACCTCCTCCTCTGACACACATCTTTTATTTAGTGAAGGTCTAAGTAATATTTTATTTGGGAACACAGCTGGAGGGGGACAAAAGTACAAAGCAAAATAATCATTTTACTTCTGGTTATTGATCAGTAAACAGCTTTTTTTTTCACTGACACTGGAAATGAACTCCAAGGATCAATCCAACCAATTTGCGCTCCCATGAGGTGAGAGACTGGCCTCCGTCCTCCGTCTTCTAATGCCCTGGCAGCTAGCAGAGACCCACAGCCAGAAGGGATGAAGGCAGTGCAGACAGAAGACAACCTCCCCACACTGATTCTTGTAGGGTGTTGCTGAATGATTTTCAGAAAATCCATGGCGGAAAACTTAGACTTTCCATTGATGTTGGTAAGACTTGCGATAGATGCATTTGGTCCAGCACCTTCTGACTCCTCTACTCTTTTAGTGGCTGTTTGGGACTGAAATCAGTCTAAAGGGGAATTCTATCTTATGGTTTTATGGAATGTTAATTCCTGGGCTGCTTTCTGTGTGATGGTTCAGCGTAGATGAAGGATATCCCATGATTACTTCTACTTTCCCTAAAAAGCTTGTACTAAGTTTTTTTTTTCTTTCTCATAGTAGACTACTTAAGAAAGACTTTGGCATTGGGGGGTGATAGGGAGGGAGCGAGGGATGAAGGGGGAGAGAGAGAGAGAGAGAGAGAGAGAGAGAGAGAGAGAGAGAGAGAGAGAGAGAGAGAGAGATTGGTTTCCCTCAGAGGGAAACAGAAAGTCTATTCTGCAAAGTTGAGCATGCGTGTATCTGAGTTCTGCCCTGGGTCCCTATCCTTTGCGAGCTTCAATCTGCTCATTCCCATGGGTCACCTTTTCCAAGCTTTCAGGCCTCTCCTTCACCTCTCTACAAAGAAGAGAAGCAGTCAACTCAATCCCGCTGGGGTATCCACTATAGAGACAACTTAAAGCTTTACTCTCTTTAAAGAAAAAGCTGGCACTGGCACAGGGCTGGTGAGAGCACTCAGGGGGTAAAGATGCTTTCCACCAAGCTTGATGACCTCAGTTCAATCCACGGGACCCCCTGTAGAAGGAAGGTAGGCTAGGTTGGACTACAGAGAGAGCCTTGGATGTCAGTTCTAGAAACGAAGGCAAGCTATAGGAGAAGCCGACCTCACCACTGGCATGGCAGAGTGAGTGGAGAGATCCTTCAGTTTACGAACAAAGGAAACTGGATTCTAGTTTTTCATTAAGCCACACTGCCTTGGACAAGCTATTCATTCACCTTTTCACCTTCCTAACTGGTAAGAGGCCAGGAACGACTGCTAATGTCTCTCTCTGATCTGGAGGACCTATAGCACCCAGCTTGATGTTCTTGGGACAGGGCCCAGGAAATGAGCCTCTGCTAGTCCCCGACACAGCAGAACAGCCTGGGTTCATCTACATCATGCCTTACCTCCGTGGGGTGGTGGGACAGTCATCACGACCGTTAGAGAGGACCCCCCTGGAGGGGACAGCTGCAGTCAGGGCAGGATTTGAGCATCCTCAGTCATGATCTAGAAGGAATGCTTTCGTTCTCTCCGAGATACCAACACCCTTAATATACATGACAGTGGCGACATGCACATCCTGAGCAAGCTCACTGGACACACCTCCAAACTCCTTCTCACACAAATGTGGCCATCTAAATAAAGCCTGAACTAAAAACCCATCTTGGTTCCGGGAAGCTCTGCCCAGGGCTGTCACACATGTGATGATGGCTGGTGTGGGCAGAGGGAGGGTTAGGGTAGACCCCAAACCAACTTGATCATAAGGCTGCGGACAGCATCACTAGCAAGGTGAACAGAAGGCGAGCCACTCTATCTGGTATTTATCTGGGAGGATGGACGGACGGGAGGAGGTGGTGTTGAAACTGGCCCTTGTATGTGACTTGGTCTTCAACACTCTATTTCCCTGTGGCCTCCATTTCAAGTAGAAACCAACATATGGAACTGAAGCCAAAGAGGAAACTCGATAGGATAATTTATTGAGAACCTATTGGATTCTCCCAGAGGATTGGAGAATGCCTTTCATACGCTCAGGCCAGGAGACTCATTGAAAGTATAAAGTGCCTTTTCCAAGTCTTCGAGAACATCTTGCTGATGTAGAGAACTTGGGAAGTTAAGAGTCATAGACCACTGTGGCAGAGGACCTGAATTCAGTTTCCAGCCACCACACAGTAGCTCACAACCACCTGTAACTCCAGCCCCAAGGAGACCCCACACTCTCTTCTGGCCTTCATGGGTACGTACGTACTCATGTATGTGCACAAACTCATTCACACACACGTACATAGTTAAAAAAAATAGCTGGGCAGTGGTGGCGCATGCATCCCAGCACTTGGGAGGCAGAGACAGGCAGATCTCTGTGAGTTCGAGGCCAGCCTGGGCTACCAAGTGAGTTCCAGGAAAGGAGCAAAGCTACACAGAGAAACCCTGTCTCAAAAAACCAATAAATAAATAAATAAATAAATAAATAAATAAATAAATAAATAAATAAATAAATAAATAAAAATAGTGACTTAAGGACAGAAAATCAATCACAGAACATAACTATCCAGTCCTACAGTTCTCAGCCTACAGGTCTATATTCCACATATATAACCTATTGGTTTTAAAATTTAAAATTTGAGTTTAGACTCTTTTCAACACTTTTTCTTCTTTCAGTGAAAAATGGTAAGCATCCTAGGCTAAGTTAAAATGTGTATTTATTCAGATAACTAAACTCTACAAAAATGTACCGATTCACAAACCCCAAAAGGAAACGTGGTTTTTGTTTGTTTGTTTGTTTTTCTGTGTGTTACACACACCCACATTTGCCCATTAGGAGGCCAGAGCAGGATGTCAAGTGTCTTCCTCCACCGCACCCTGCCTTACTGCCTTGAGGCAGGGTCTCTACCGCACCAGAAGCTTAGGATGTAGCCCAGTGATCTCTCAGGATCCTCTTGTCTCTGACCCCACGTGTTGGGGTTACAGGCACACGTGGCTCTGCCAGGCTGCTGCTGTGAACACTGCGGACTGACCAGGGCCTCATGCGCACTGAGCCATCTCCCCAGACCTATTTGTTTTCTTTCCCGTAGATACTTTGACATACAACACGACTTTTTCACCTTCAACAGGATTTATTTGGGTGTCCTGACACACGCTTGTGACACAGCATAATTAAGCAGACAGACTCCTTTTTGTCAACTGACCTCTCCTTCAGTAGTGGAGGTAGGAGATTACCTTGTTTCCCCAAAGCAAACTGCTACCCATTGAAAACAGAATTTTCAGCATGGTCTTGCATAATTGTCAAAACAAGCCAGAATCAGCCACCCCCCACCCCCCATACTCACAGGAGGAACAATGCTTTCAGACATTTCTGTAACAGTTTATTTTTTATTTTTTTTGGATTTGCTCAACATTAAGGACTTCTGTTTTTATCCATGCCTACTGATTGGTTAGTCTCTCTCCTGAGAAAAATGAATTTTTTTTTTATTAAGAAAGAAATGTAGACAACTTCTGGTCCTATAACACACTTAGAAATAAAATAGTGAAATGAGAGACTTCTCCTCTCCACCTGAAGGGCTCCAAGAGAATGAGTTATGTAGGAGGTCGGAGAATTAAAACAAGGTGTTTCCTTGTGGCTAATGACTTACAGTCTGGGGAAAACCTAGCCTGATAAATTCAAAACAGGACCACCTCAAAAGACTTTTTGGAGTACGCAGATTTTGCTAGGGATTCCATGCAAATACTTAACCGTTAAGGACCTCAAGGTGCCTGATAATGAGTTTCCTAATATCTGAGGGTGGGTTTCCTCAGAAGCTAACTGTCCGTCCATCTCCATTAGTTCAGCCCAGAGGGAAAACCTCAGAGAACATGCTAGAAAACATTTTCAGGAATCATGTCCTTTAATTATTACACAAGTTTTAATCACGTGACTTAGACTTCCTTCAAATACTTTTTGACCTTAAAAAAAAGTTTGATACAATTAATACTATTGAATCCAGACATTTGATCCACATATGATTAGACATGCTAATTACATAAACATGCTAGGAAATAATACAATCTACTTTCAAATGAAATCTTGCCTTTTAAAAACTCAAAGGTGGGGCTGGCTAGATGGCTCAGTGGATAAGGTGCTTGCCACTAAACTCAAGGACCTGATTTCAATTCAAAGGACCCACTTAGCGGAAGGAGAGAGCTGATTTCCACGGGTTGTCAACAGACTCCACATGTAGGTGGTGGCAATGCACCTTTATAAATAAACAAATAAGCATAATTTTAAAAAACAAACAAATCCCTTAAGAAACTCAAATGTGTTATTTTCCCCCAGGGTTAGCTAGGAAAATGCACAGTCCTGAACAACAATTTTCATGGAACTATTATTAGCGAAAAAGTAGTTAACACACATTTCAGGCTGGATAGATGGCTCAGTGGTTAAGAGCACTTGCTGCTCCTGAAGAGGACCCAGGTTCGGTTCTTTGGCATCCACACTGGGAACCTCACCTGTAATCCAGTTCCAGGGGGTCTGGAGACCTCTTCTGGCCTCCATTGGCACATGTACACACACACACACACACACACACACACACACACACACACACACACACCCCACACACACACAATTTAAAAATAGAAAAGCTTTTGAAACAGAACAGAGAGGACAACTACCAGAATGCAAATAGTCATTAATTACAGCTTAACTGCTATTCACCAATCCACTCTTGAACATACGATTGAGTTCTGGTAAGTTCTGACCAGGAGACACAGAAGCAGAAGCCTTCCCCCCCCCCCCCTTTGCTCGCAGCATCTGTTGCATCTCTAACGTGGCTGTCCCCACCGCAGTTGCACAGATGACTGCCTTTGAATGGCATCTAACATAAACGACACCAAACGCCCCTATAATTTCATGTTGGTCTGCATTAATTAACTTCACAGTAGGTGGCTGAGGTACCGAAGAGAAAGACTTGAGATCATTGCTGCCCACCTACCTTACACAGCTTGTCTCTAAGCCAAGACAGCGCCTATTCATTTTTAATAAACGGTGCCAAGTGAGAGACATTTTATCCTAAAGGGCAGAGGCAGGTATCCATAAGGAATGGGTGGAGTTTGCCACACGCAGCCATATCTGTTTGAAAGGAGCTGTGTATGGAGGAGTGCAGATAGTGAAGATGTTGTGAAGTCAGCCAGCGCTGCCATGCTTGGTAGTTTTGATAGGTTTTAGCTTGAGAAGTGTATATTTACATCGAAGTGTTCTTTCTCTTTGAAAGATGTTAAAATAGGAAAATTACTGGGGTTTTATTTTTTGCAGCAATTAAAAATGATATCACTGCAAATGCTGTTGTAATGTATACCCTAGACCTTGAGACGGAGACGCAATTGCCCAAAATATTATCTCCCCATCATCAGAAGTACCATAATTTAAAGTATCTATTTTTTTTTTCTATTAGGTTTCTCCAATTATAATTTTATCAAGCTCTGACAGCAAAGCGGTGAACTGAAAGGCCACGTGGGGACCAGCTCCTACGAAGCCCTGGCGCCTCTCACATCACGTGGCACGGCCCTCCATCGCCGCTCCAGTTCAGTGAATGAGAGAGTACTTCTGGAAAATTCCCGGGCAGTTCTTAAGTCAGTATCTTCAGATATTTTTAGGCTGTGAAGCAAAGAGGGAGGAGGGGGAGGGAAGGTGTGAAGAGTTAGGGGAGAGGTGGGGAAGAAGGAAAAGAACAGCTCTGTCCTCACTGCTCTTTGATGTGGGGCGGATGGAGGTGGACCAGTATCTGAGGGGCAGAGTGACACGGAGGTGGACCTTCAGAAAAAGGGGGCGGGGCTGGGGAAGGGATTTACCCATGGGGCTCTGGGAAGGAACCTGATTTCAGACCTGGTTCAAAGCTCCCCTCTGAGAACATGACTCCTCTAAGATGTCTCCAGGAATCAATCAATCAATCAATCTCTCTCTCTCTCTCTGGCCTGCGCAACCTAAACTCTTCCGGCCGCAACTTGTACAAGAAATCAGAAGGTGATGGTGACTTGTGTTTTTAAGTACTGGTTTGTAATAAAGGAACACGGCAACTGAAGGGCACTAGGGGTGGGGGCGGGGGCACTTGGGTGCCAGTGATCCGAAGCAATTTTGCCAGCGGCATCTTCTAACACAAATAAACCAACAGAGAAGAACTGGTACCAACAGTTCACAGACATGGTTGGAGGTAGGTAGCAGTGGGGCTTGAAAAAAAGGCATTTCGAACAATAATGGAACTTAAGAGTATGATTTATTGGAATGACAATCACCATCAAAACTTTCGAGAACCTTCCAGTTAAACAAAAACAAAACAAAACAAAACACAAAACCCCACATCCATCTACTCTTCAGGTTTCCATGGGTGTAGGAGTCTCTGCCCAGTGTTCTACCTGCACCAAGGTGACACCAGAGAGAGACCTAATGTGTCGCTGTTCCTGGGTCCCACTTCTTCCTGGGAGTCCCGGGCGAGCAATAGAGTATATATTACCCAGCAGTCACAACACAGTGTAGAAATGAAAAACAAAAACAAGGCAAAACAGAACAACAAAATATCCCCCCCTGCTACTTAAACATGGTGAAAGGTTCCATTAATGCTTGTGTGGGCCCGACGTTCGTTGCACACGATGGCGTTCTGATCCCGCTCTATCTGTAGTTTACTTCCTACAGCCTGATGGCGGCCGGCGTATGGTGACAGTTAGGGCTTGGGTGGTCCTGGACTCTCAGGACTGAGCTTGACATCTTCTAGGACGTTTTACTTGGAAATTCTGATGACATTTTAAAACCGTTCTGCTGTTCTTGTTTACAAAAAGGGTTACTATAAAAAGTGGATTCTTCTTTTGTCCATTTAAGATATTCATCCTCTCGCTATTTATCCCCCATTCAATTCATAATCCTGTTTAGGTCACTATGATTAGTTGCTATGGAAATTACCTCCTATGGAAATGATGCCAACGTGATTACTGAATATTAGTTTTAATGAATAATATCAATACCAGACATCCACCCTTACTCAAAAAAGGAAATCTAATTAAAAATCTGAAAAAGGATTAATCCTGAAAATTACTATGGTCAACTTTTCTGATGATTTTTTAATCTGTCATCCGCTTTTAAAATAAGTATTAAATAAATTTTAAGACATTAATCAGCTACTTGCCTCCCTGAATTCCAGAGGGCACAATGGAGATTAGCATCATACAGCAAGCCGAGCAGTGTGGGACATTTCATATCCATTTCTCTCACTAATAAGTGTGTGCCTCACTGATGAGCGGCAGAGTCAACAGGATTTCGGGGCTCATCAAGGAAATGACTCTGAATGGCGGATTACTAATTCCCTTTAAAGACAAAGAATTTAATATTCTAAAACTTATCCCAGGAATTTAAAAGGTCAAGCCTATAAACCATCAAGTTAAACCATAGAGGGGAGCCAGCGAACCGTTAGATGAGAATTCCAGAAAGCTGAAGGGGAAATTTTCTTGGGTGGATTCTGTAATTTGTGGTTTGAATAAAACCTTTGAAACATTCCATTAAGTATTAAAATTCTCACAATGAGAATACGGCTTGTATTTAACACAGTCTACATTACTAGACAATCTCTCTCCAAAAGAAACATCAAGGCTTTCTTCTGCCTACTGCTTATTCACGGCCTGCTACTATGGTAGGACTAAATTAACCCTTCCAACAATTAGGATACTGTCTAGAAACTGCTCTTTTGCTCTGTGGGGAGAGAAAAAAAAATCATTTATATTCTGGAAATGAGAAGTAAAAGAGAAATTCAATTCTCTAGTAAAAGGTGCTTTTCTGTACCTAATAGCTTATTAATGGTTCATGGAAATCACCATGGTCTTTACCTATACAATTATGTAACATTACACACACAATGCCTCTGACCTGCTCTTCACAGCTGGGATCTAGATAGCACAGGCTGCCTATACTTGTGCTGGCAGCCATGATCGAGGGTCCAGAATGCCTCTGAGGGATTTCTGCCTTGGAGCCGGCACCGGCTTGCCTTCAAAACTGGTTTTAGTGTCCGTGTGCTCATCACCAGCTGAACTGTTTTTCCTGGCAGGGAGAAGTTTGCGAGGGGCAGCCACCGGTTTCTGGGAGAGACGCGTTGGTGATGACGGTCTGGGGTCTGAAGGTGAGGCTCCAGAGACACTGGCCTGGGCCCTGCTGTCCTTGGGTTGATCGGTGCCACCCTGAGTCTTCATGCTGAAGGGAGGCTGGTCCGTAGGAGGAAGTGGCGCTCGCCTCTTTTTCCTCTTCCCGTCAGGGGTCGGTTTGCCCGCGGGGGACAACACTTTCTTCTGGATGACCATTTCATGATTGCCATCGAAGACGGCGGCCCACGGGGGTGGTGTGGACTCTTCATCCTGGCCAATGAGGAACTGCCCATTCGTCTCTCCAATTTTCTTTTGTATTATGTCGGTTAAACTTTCAAGTTTCACAGGTGAATCGATGCCTGCAACAATTTTAAGAAGAAACTTCATGGGGGGGAATAAAAAACCCCAACAGTCATATGTACTTTATTCAAATAAGCTATTATTTTCCAAGTCAATATGCTACCAATCACGACCATCAAAAACTTGGGAGCGTGATAAGTAAGAAAAACACTTACTTGTAAAAAATAATCCTGCCGGGCGGTGGTGGCGCACGCCTTTAATCCCAGCACTTGGGAGGCAGAGGCAGGCGGATCTTTGTGAGTTCAAGGCCAGCCTGGTCTACAGAGCGAGATCTAGGAAAGGCGCAAAGCTACACAGAGAAACCCTGTCTCAAAAAACCAAAAAAAAAAAAAAAATAATCTTATCACGAAGGTCCCCAAAACAAGGCTATCATGTACTGTACTGTACTGTAGATATACAATAAATATCATATATACAACATACACTGCATATGAAAAATACATACACTCACACATACAGAACACAGATGGACACACATGAGCGCTTCTTGAACTCTCTATAAATATTTATCGTACAGTAACTTTTCTTAGATGTAAGCCTTTACTTTGCCTACCAGGAAGTTTGTTATATGAACAGGGATGGAGGTCATGAGTCAGGAGTTTTTCCTACAGACCCCTGAAGTCTCTGCTAACGGTGAAGGACAAAACCTCCAAAACCAAAGCCCCAAGAGCAGGAGTCCGAAGCCCTCCCTTTCTGGTGATAAGGATGCTGGGTAAAATTTTCCTTGGGAAAAAATAAGGAAACTGAGATAAAGGTCTGCTGATTGAATTTGTGATATTTTAAAGTCATCACTTGGAATCTATGATTGTAAATACACACACACACACACACACACACACACACACACACACACACACACATGCATGCGCGTCCTTGCAAGTATATTAGGAGTGGAATAGAGGGACACTACTCTCCAGATGAGCTTGTGAGTACCATCCTGGAGGCCAGCCCACAGATTAAACACCATTCAAAGTGTGGGAAAATGAAATCGAAAAATTTAAGAGAGACAAATTTCTTAAATACTAGACCTAACTAGTTATTTTTGACCAGAGATGAATGATTCCATTCATTTATATTTCCCTGTCTGTAACATAAAAACAAACCCAGTAAACAATGACTGAACATGATCACGTCTTAGACTCTTTACTTTTACATTTTCTGAATCTCATAAGCTCAGTACTTTCTTCTTTTAAGCCTGGAGTTTTCTGTTTGATCGTGAGTATGTGAACTATGAAAAATACGCATTCATTAATTTTGTATTAATTCATCTATTAAACATGAGCTCCTCAGTCTATAATCACAGTCCTTTTTTTTTTTTTATTCAATTTGATTGTGCCCTGAAAATTTTAGCATTTTAATGTCAATAGAGTGAGCGGCTGGGGTGTGGACAATGTTGGTCTTATCACCCTGTGGCTCGGAGGAGGCAAGCCCCACTTACTCATATCGTAGTACACGGAGGTCGCCTCCCTTGTTAGGAACAAAGGTGGTTTCCGTGGCGACATAATCTCAATTTTCATAAGTTCTTCACAACAATGCTTCCATTGGCCTACAAGAGAAAGAAAGAAAGAAGCAGGCTAGCTTGAAATATAAATGTGAAGCTATGTATTTCATTTTCCGCCAATATCAACACTGTGTGTGTGTGTGTGTGTGTGTGTGTGTGTGTGTGTGTGTGTGTGTGTGTATGTTGAAAATGTATCAATAAACCCTAGCTTTTCAGAAGCATGTACAAAAACCTGGTAGAATCCACAGTTTTCAAAGCTGATTCTTCACGAGTGATTCATTTAAAAAACAAAACAAAACAAACAAACAAAAAACCCCCACAGTTCTGAGTAGACACTAAGATCTCCAGGCTATTAGCTAGGACACCACTACACAAAACCATCGGCAATCACATTAACCTTCGAATTCACTGTGCAAGTGTGCACAGCTTCTGTTCTACACTTTAGATGAAAACATCCAGTATTCAAGACATGTGGGAGATAAAACCTCATTGAAATCCAGCTGTCATTGGACGGAAGAAGAAATACAGAATTCAAGTCCTCATATATCTTTAACTTGAAATTTTTAATTAAGAAGTAAGAATTATTTCATAGCGCAACTATTAAATTAAAATTTCAAAGTGTGGGCATCATCAATGTTTATTTTCATTGTTTCACTATTTAAGCCTTAAGGTTTTCAGACTTCTCTGTGGATTAAAAAAAAAGATTGATATTTGCTGACTTGCATTCCTCCTTATCACGTGACCATCCAATGACATCACAGAAGTCACGGGGTTCCCAACCCTGTATCTCACTCACATCACTGGAAGGGGAGGGACAACACACCCGATACCTTCTAAGGTTGACTTATTTTTTTTTCCATTTTTGAATAGTTTCAATGTGTATATTCAATCTGTCCAACATGGTAGCTTTCCATGGCTGAAAATTTCAAAGACACTTCATGTTCACTTAATTACATATTCATTTTGTTGTCACGGCACATGGTGATAAACGCCTACATTTTGAATCCATTACCGTAACGAGTGAAGACACATCAAAAACACATCGGGGTGTTTTACGATGATACTGATTGCCACACAGCAAACCAACAGGAAACGGACCCCCAGGATACACAGCTGCAAAGGTTCCTCCCCGGGGTCTGAAGCCAGAAGCTGGAGCTGACCTCTTACACACCCCCTTCCTTTTTCAATAAATATGTAAAAGCCATGTTTTAATTGTAGTTGATGAAAAATGATGACTCATTTAAAAGGGGCTGGCATTTCTCTATCACGCTCTTAGGTGTACCACGCTGAGAAGTGGTGACTTCTGCCCGGGGAGCTTGAGATGCAGTAGTTCATAGCTGCGCTAGAAACGGAATGCTAACCATGCTGCAGATGGGAACATAACCCTGTCCCGTCCCACATGCTCCTGGTGTCAGAGGTGACTTTACGACGGAAGCATTCTGCACTGACTAGGTCTGAATATATGGAAATACATGATAGCTGATATGTCAACACAAGGTAAATATCTACTCTATATAAGAGGTGTTTCCCACAACGCTGTGTTACCTCATTACACATATTTAGTGTGTGTGTGTGTGTGTGTGTGTGTGTGTGTGTGTGTGTGTGTGTGTGTATGCATGCACGCGTGCCCACACACACATGCATGTAAGCACATACGGTGCTCTGGCACCTGGGAGGGTCAGGGGACAACCTGCAGGAGTTGGTCTCTGCATCCACCACAGGGATCCTAGGAACGGAACTGAGGTTGTCAGGCCTGGGGTGAGCGTTGCCTCCTGCCGGCCAGTTCGCTGCCTCCGCCGCACTACTTCTCACTGTTCATGTTCCCTGTTATACAAGGATCTACTGTGCTAAGCTCTTCCGGTGACTCGGTATTTATAGTAATTATTTGAAAAACAAAATCCTGTCTGTTTAAATATTCCTAGCTACTGACCATGTGGAACAGGGGTCATGCCTCTTTTATACACTTTCAAATCCTAAAACAGCACTTATACCCCCTTATCCCCCCACCTCCACACCCTGTCCATCCCGGCTAAGCACACCCACATCCATCTTCACTTCTTCATCCATCCTGATTAGCTCACTCTCCTGGTCTTCTACTCTTAAAATTGGGCTAAAGAACTGAAGTTTGACTCAGTTAATATTAAATTATTCTTATGCTATTCCATTCCTGATAGCTTCTTCTTCTTTGCTCTAGACACCATACTTCAACCAAGATGAGGAAGGCCTGCTTGTCACTAAGAAAATTAGAATAATGAGGCCAGCAAGATGGCTCGGTGGGCAATGGAGCACAATGCCGAATCTGACGACCTAAATTCAGTCCCCAAAAACCCACACGGGAGAAGGAGAGAACCAGTTCCCACAGACTGCGCTCTGACCTGCACACATGTACTGCATCAACCACTTATCTACACACACACACACACACACACACACACACACACACACACACAGAGACAAAACTAGGCATATACAGAGGCACAAACAGGTTAATGTTAATTTAAAAATGACAAAAAAAATTTAAGAAAATTAGAGGACTACATTGTAATTCAATATTTTGGGGAGTATAAACACTTCCATCTTTGCTTGTCATACAAAGTATAAAAAGTAAGAGATTTTGCACTTTAAAAATGACAGATTGGCACTACTTGGTTAAAAAAAATGTCAGCATCCAAGTGACAATGTGAGGAGTTACCTAGAAGTGGGCCCTCCCACTAACCACGCCTCCCCTGCCCCCAGCATCCAGACTAGTGTGTTCTGGATTAGCACTTCCAATGCCCCTTCTCTGTCATTATGCCCATGAACTACCAGAATCATCTCTTAAAACAGCATCTTTTCTTTTTGTAAGTCAGGCTCTCCAAATCAGAGAGTCTGGGAAAGCGGTCAAAATTCTAATTACGATCCGAAAAAGAAAGGAGGGTGTCGACTAGGTCCAGATCACAAGTACACGCTTGTGATCCCAGAGGCAGGAGGATTAAAAAAATGCAAGGGCTAGCCTGGGCTACAAGTGGTCGTCACCACCACTGCCCCTGCATGCCTACCACGTCAGCAGCACTCAGGAAGCTGAGGCAGGATCTCAAGTTTGAGGCCAGCCAGCACACGGCAAGACCGAGCTGCACAAACCAGTGCGACAGAACGCAAGCTGTTATTGAAATCACTCACGCACACACGGTCTGCAGTTAACTTAAGAAAAAGAAACTGAGGACAGTTGCACACCATGTGC